GTAAATATAACTTAACGGATTGGAGACATGATTAGAATAAAATTTGGTACTATAATTCGAAAATATGTTGAAAAGTTTGTTTAGGGGTTAAAGGGTACGCATAAAAAAGTAATAGGACCAACTAATCATTTAAAAATTGTACAAATTAAATAATTTAATTCCAATTAATAAACACCGTTAGATTATATCTACAGTGTAGAAATCCTGTCGCATAGTATGTGTCTGACGCATACGAGTGTGACCCATATATACGCCCGGGTGTACGCTAACCTAGCGTACGCCCCATTGAGTTTTGCTATATAGATCATGAATTAATCGGAGTTTGGGGCATGATACTATACCCTAACCTCTAATGGGTGAACCCCAGTCCCTAATTTTCTAACCCAAACCATGAGGTTCGTTTAATCTTAAAATGAAAACCAATGAAAATTTCGACGAATCAGAATCGTTGATTTTCATTTTTAAGATTATACGATCTCATGCTTTGGGTTAGTGAATTGGGGACTGGGATTCACCCATTAGGAGTTAGGGTATAGTATCATGTCCCAAACTCCGATTAATTCTTTGTCTAAATAGCAAAACTCAATGGGGCGTACGGTAGGCTAGCGTACGCCCGGACGTACGCTAGCCTTTGCCATATATATATATGTGTGTGTGTGGTGGCTACTTCGGTGCACTCACTTTTTTGGGTGCACTGTCTAAAAGCGTCCATAATACATCAAATTTTGAACTTTAATTAGTACTCTCAATCTAATATGATGATATGACATAGAATCATAACAAATCAATCCATTACCATAACCCCTTAATCTTCAATTTTGAATCCCAACCCAAAATCCCTAATTGTAAACCTAAACCCTAACCCTAAATCCCTAAATCCTAAATCCTTCGAATTAAAGTAAATTTTGAATGATTTTTTGTCAAATTCATGTGCTTCTTGTTCATAATATAATAAGCAACAATTGATACTGTTTTGACATGAATCGCATGGTCAGAATGACAATTATGAGGCGGGTGCACTCAGTGCACCCGAAAAACTAGGTGCACCTAATACGCCACCATATATATATATGGTGACTACTTCGATGCACTCACAAAAATGAGTGTGTTCAATGCACCCAACTCAAAAACTAGTCTTAAGGTGCCGAATTTTGAAATTTAATTTGTAGAATTAGTGTAATATGATGATATAACATATGATAACAACTAATTAGCGGATTACCCTAAGCCCTAGACCTCCAATTTTGAGTTCTATCCCTAAATCTCAAATTGTAAACCCTAACCCTAAATCTCTAAACTCTAAATCTTTCAAATTAAAGTAAATCTTTAATGGTTTTTGTGCAAATTCATGTGCGTTATTGTTCATTACATCATAAGTGATGATTGACATCATTTTGACATAAATCGCATGTTTAAAATGACGATTATGAAGCGAGTGTACTAAATGCATCCAAAAAAGTGAGTGCACAGAAAACGCCACCATATATATATATATATATATATATATATATATATATAGCAAAGCTATGCTCCAGGAGTATAGTATAGTCCAAGTGATCAGACCGTTAGATGTATTTAGATGAGTTTCGACCGATCTCAAAGGTCGATTATTATTTTCTATTAAATTGAACTTCGGGTCGGGGCCTAGAGTTTATCATTAGACGTTAGGGTATAGGAGTATATGGAATATAGTGTACTCCAGGATAAATAATAATAATAATAATAATAATAATAATAATCGTTTAAGAGAGAATTCAGAATTCCTATAATACATTTGCGATAGTAAATTTTATTAAGTAAAATTCAATAGTATTTTTTTTTTGTGGAAAAAATTCAATAGTATTTAACTTACATAGTAGTTATTGAACACCGTGTTATGTAAAATATAAATTCATAATGCAAAATATCTTGTATACTCTAGTGACGCATTTGTTAAAAAATGTTACATAAGCAATAATTGTCTTCTTGTAAACTTTACGCGAGCAATGAGTATCTTATGTAACCATTGTGAAATCAGGTTACGCAACACTTACATAATGACAATCTTTTCACACAAGGAATATTAAAATCTCGTTACGTAAAATGTTAATTCACTATATAACAGTCATGCATGACACACACCTGATTTAACTGTTATGCAAGAAATTATTATTATTTTACAATCTTTGTGTAATGTATTCTTATCTTACATAACAATCGTCGAATGAAGTTATGCAAGTCTTAAACTTATGACCTTTTTATATAATGAATAATAAAAAGTTAATTGCGTAAACGGCTCAATCATCACAAAATTCGTACTTAAGAGGTCTACTTTAATTTTTCATAAGAAATATTAGATTTTTGTAATATTTACATAATCTATTTTTATCTAATTCTAACTTAATAGTTTTAAAATGAAATTTAATGATCAACGACCGTGTTTATATTTTAATAATTTTAATGACTTTGATTCATTTAAAATAGTCAAGTCGCCGAACTTAAAAAAAAGAAATCAATTCATTGTTGTCAGCCATTCGTATCTTATGTAACCATTGTGAAATCACGTTATGTAACCCTTACATTGGGGCTTTTTCCTTGTTTTTTATTTTTTGTTTTCCTCCGTGCCTTTGTTCTGGTGCGTTTTCCTCTTCTATTATCCTTTTGTTTTTGTTCTTCTTCCTCTCTTTCTGCTTATTGTGGAGATGAGTAGTTCAGCCCTGGTGAAATACCTTCTCTTCGGACAGTTATCTATCCCTTTCTCTTTTGTTTTAATGCATTCTAATCGCCATTATAAAAAAAATGAACGATCTTTTCACACAAGGAACAGTACTAAAATCTCATTACGTAAAATGTTAAGTCACTGTGAAAGTCCTGCATGACACGCCTAATTTAACTGGTATGCAAAAAATAATTATTGTTTTACAATCTGTGTAATGTATTTGTACCTTACGTAACAATAGCAGAATGAAGTTATGCAAGTCTTACAATTATGGCCTATTTATATAATGAATAATAAAAGCAAGAAACATTTTTGAGTTTTGTAATATTTGCATAGTATATTTGTATCCAACTTAATAGTTCTAAAATGAAATTTAATGATCGACGACGGTGTTTATATTTTAGTAATTTTAATGACTTCGATTCATTTAAATTTAAAGTAATCAAATCCCCTAACTTAAAAAAAGAAATCACAATAATAACTTTCCCCATCTCGAAACCACTGGTTACTGACCCATCAGTAACAACACGCGGGCCGTAGATTTGGAGAGGGAGAAATCGTGTGGATGCGCTGGACGCTGGGTGGGGATGGGCATTTTTGTCCGTTTTCGTATTTTTAATTTTTTATTTATTCCGCATTTCAATGGCTGGCTTTTCAATGAAAGAGAGAGAATCTTCCTTCTCTGCAACTCAACTTTCTTCCTTTTCTCTTCCTTTTTTTCAATCTCTTTCCATAACCTTTCTCTTTCTCTATTCCTTCTCTCTTACTTTTTTTCCTCACAATCTCCTTTTCAAATCTAAATCTGCTCTCTTCCTTCTTCATTTTTTTCTCTAGCATAAAAATTGTAGCCACTCTCTTTCATTGCATTTCTTCTCTTCATCAACTCGTTGGACTCAATTCCGATCTTTCTCATTTTTTTGGCATTTTGGTGTTCTTGATTGAGGAAGAGGAAATGAGAGGCATCAGAAGACGATTTTTTTCTCTCCCTCCTTCTGTTTTTTTTCTTTTAGATAATATATATTGATATTATGACTCTATACCATATGGTATTTGGTGGTAACGAAATATATATTGACATTACCACACTATACCCTATGGTAATTTATGGTATTGCGTGATAACGAAATATATATTGATATTACCACTCTATACCATATGGTGTGATATTACCACACTATACCATATGATATTGGGTGGTAACGAAATATATATTGATATTACCACACTATACCATATGGTATTGGGTGTTAACGAAATATATATTGATATTACCACTCTATACCCTATGGTATTGTGTGAATTGTGTGATATTACCACACTATACCATATGGTATTGGGTGGTAACGAAATATATATTGATATTACCACACTATACCATATGGTATTGGGTGGTAACGAAATATATATTCATGTGGCAAATATTACCATACCACATGGTATGCTCTTGTTTAATACCAGTCAATACCATATGGTACAGTCAATACCATATGGTATAGACTGGTAATAACTGACAAATTTTTTTGTGTGCAAAAAATATCAAAGTGGATATCATTTTGAAGAGTACAATTAATCTGATCTAACTGTGCAAAAAAAATTAAATTTCGACTTAAAACGAGTGAGAAATCGTCCGTTAAAGATTAAGGGAAGAAAAATTAAATGTTTTGCCAGGAGAGAGAAGGAGGGGCTGATAGGCTACGGTCAAAAGTGAGCATCAATAATAAATAGGAGTAAGTGCAATTTTACCGTACTACCCTTTTCACATTTACCGTACTACCCTTTTCAAAAGTGAGCATCAGTTACTGACAAGATCTGGACCCGAAAACAAGAGTAAGCCCAAAGAGAGAGCCCAGCCCAGTCAACTCCCCAAAGGACATAACAGTAAATGCGTAGTCGAACTCCTTGACTTCCCAATTTCTTCAGCGCTCTCTTCTATCGCCTATTCATTATACGGCATACGCCCTCCTCTCCTCTCCTCTCCCCGGACAAAAAGCACAGCGAGCAGCATTGCAAATTCAGCTAAAAAAAAATCTAACCAAGTTGCCGGGAAGCAGCCATGGCGGAGAAGAAGACGACGAAAATTCTGATCATCGGAGGAACGGCGTACATAGCGAGGTAAATTACTTTCCCTTTTGAATTTTACTTCCGCTGCTACATTGCTACATCCAGCCTAGCCAACTCCTCAATGCTCATCAGTTTTACCTGAGGTACCAAGAGTAAATTTCTCGTCATCATGATTTCATATGCGAGAGGGAAAACTAGTAATTAGTTGCCAGAATTAAACAGGGTGGATTTGGATAGATAGCTAACAGACCTTGTTGATAATCAACTCTTGAAGCCTTTCATAATCCTCATCACTCCCACTACTCCTCCAATTGTCCTTCATCTCAGATGCCCTGCTTCTAGTGGTCTGCCTTCGAGAGAACCCTTTGAAGTAATCATTCAGCTGAACCTGATTCAGGGAAATCAAAAGCATTGTTTTTTTTTTTAATGTTTTACTTGGTTATACTAATCACATATAGGTTGAGAGCGAAAGAATTAACAGACTGAACAAAACAAATTACCTTTCTTCTGGGATTTCCGTCTCCTGGGAGCATGTGTTCAAGTTGATCAACGTCGAAGAAACAATCGCGAGCTTTTGCATCGTAGACTAGCTTTTGCCAAACAGAATCACTACTCATCAAGGTCCTCCCACATCCCAGAATCCACATGCAGTATCTGCATAATTGCAAATGAAATGCCATACAATGAGAAACCAAAAAAGAAGCAGTTAGTAACCATTATTAGTATATTCATCATCTCTTGTCCCAAAAACAGTAGTTCACCTTGCCCTTGTGAGTGCGACATTGGTCCTTTGAGCATTAGAGAGAAAACCAATTGCCCCACTTTCATTGGATCTCACAGTTGATATGATGATGATATCTTCCTCGCCACCTTGGAACCCATCTACCGACTTGACTTTCACTGAGAAGCCATCTTTCTGCTCAAACTCATTACCAAGTTTCTTCTTGATTGCAATCACTTGAGCTGAATATGGTGATATCAGACCGATGGAGAGTTTCTTCTCCTTGGATCCCTTAAATGCTGCATGGATGTAGAATAGTGTCATGTATAGTGCAAAACTATGAAATCTATCTTTGACATAAAAGTAATGAGAAAAGATTGACCAGAAACCCTTGCTGTATTCGTATACAATACCTTTGTAAAGATTCTTCACCAATTTCAGCGCAATGTCTACCTCGGTCATATTTCTCCTGCTACGTCCAACATCATCGAATTCTTCCCTTCCGCCAGTTACACTCATAAATGAATAGGGACCAAACATCGGGCCTGGAAGATATCCATTTTTTCCATAAGTTGAGCTTTTCACATTGTCTCCATCTTGAATCTTACCAGAGTAGAAGATTGAATTGGGAAAACAGCTTATCAATGGATGCATCCTGTATTGTATATTCAGGAGGTGCACAGGGTGCCCTAGCAAAGTTAGCCTTTCAAAAAGGCTCCTTCCGAACTCAGCTTCACTACAAGCCTGTGGAAAAGGAAAGGAAATTTTGGTACAATTTGTTCCTAAATCGAAAGAATAATAGTACAATACTCCAGCATACCTTGCTTTGAACCATGGCTGGTAATTGGCACTCATCTCCTATCAGAATGGCATGCCTGATACCAGGCAATTGCAGAGGTATTGCGGATTCACATTCTTTCAGTTGTGCAGCTTCATCAATCACCAAAACCTCGAGTGGCTCCTTCATCCGCACTGAATGAAGCTTGTATGAAGTAGCTGCTGTGCAGAGAATGAGAGAAGCTTGATTGAAGCAGAAGATTGGGATTTCATACTTTTTCCTGAAAACTGGAAACCCAACTGCCACCAGAGTTTTACTCAGATCTTTCAATGTCAATATACAGCCTGTTCTTCTGTGGCAGAGCTCTTCGGATGCAGCAGCAAAATACCGGGAAGAATCTTCGATCAATTGAGGATGGCGAAAAAGCTGTTCCACCTCCTTGGAACACACACTATCACAGAATAACAAACTTCTGAAGGTTTCGATTAAATCGATGACACATTGGATCTTTTCAATAACCTCTCTCCCCATAAAGCTTTCTGGAACATGAACACACAAAGTTATCATGCAATTCTTGAATGGCAAAACTGTGTGCCGAAATCTATCTCTTGCATACTCGAGAAATGATTTGTACTTCGTTTCCTTCGAGCTCATTTCGGTTCTTCCTTGCCCCCCATTGAATTTGCTGTCAAGATTCGTCTTTTGCTCATTCTTCCTTTCAGTTTCCTGATGATCAGAGAACTGAACAACACATTGTTCAAGAAAGTCGATGGTACAATCGAGGTGGTGCTGCCATCCAGAGAGAGGTTTAAAGCACTCCCAAAGCTTTTCAACTCGATAACCCAGGTATATCTCTTCCACTTCTGGGCCCAGCTTAAGTCTCTCTTCATTCCCAAGCAAGAGAATATCCCCTAAACCTGCAGCAGCATTGTTCTGGTTTGCAGATGATTCCGATTTCCAGAGCTTGACGACCCTTGAAGCTACTTCTTTTATTGCAACATTTGTTGGTGTACAAGTCAGCGTCCTGCATTTCATCTTCAAAAGAGCAACTAGCAATGTGCTTACAGTTTTGGTCTTCCCAGTCCCTGGAGGGCCCTTAATGAGTTCCAAACCGGACCTATGGTTGCAACGAGCTCTTCCAAGGCAAGCCAGAACAGCCCCTCTTTGAGACTCGTTCAAGGTATTCGAATCTGTAGTCTGATACTTTGTATCCATCTGCTGCTTATAAATACATAGGCTGCAACTTTCCTTGTCCTGCAAGAAACCAAGATCGTTTTAAGCAATAGAACGAACGCTTAGTAGACCATAGTAACAATTAAGCCATCAGTAGTTGAATGGATGAATCCCTTACCAAAGTTTCTGCAGATAGTACTTTGTCGATGATAGTCAAGTTTCTTGACATATGCAATGCATTCCAGATTCTACGGTTAGTTGTGATACTCATCAAGTAGATGACAAACATAGGTTCCAGCTCTTTTGATGCTTGGAGGATATACTGCATGGATCCTCCACCTTCATCTTCCGGAAAACCAATGACCACAGCAAGGGACCAGAAGCTGCCTGGCCTCTGCAAATCCGAAACTGTTTCGGGCTTAGCATCGGCTAAAAGGACAAGATCCCAGGGCAATGTTCTGTAAGGTGGATTGCCGGAGCTACCACCACCACGGTTTCTCCAGTAATCAACTTGAACTTCATACAAGAACGTTCCATAAGGTTTGCGCTCTTCCAAATCTGTCATACTGGTGAATGGTGCCTTGGAGATGACTTCCATGGCCGACTGCAGTTCAGCTCTCGTCTCCTCCAGTAAAGGAGCCACGAACTGTTTCAAGTATTGTTTTGTTGAATCCACGGACTTTGGAATCATTGGTACCTGCAAAAAGGTGTTATAAGTATAGCCCAGTTCATAATGCAGGAAGATTGTGCCAATACAATATCAAAACTGTCAACAAGAAGAAATAGTTGTGACTATCCAATTGACACATAGGACTCAAATCAATCACTAACACAAAAGATCAGTCCAATTAAAATAATGAAGTTGCTTGTGATTTGTGGAGGACAGGATCAGCATGAACAACCCAAGCAGGGTAAGCTTAAAAGAAAGTATCTGGGAGACCTCGAGTAGACGTTCATTGAAAATGTCCTCAAGTGACCACGAAAACAAATTTGTGATGAAACTTTCCTTCTTCTCGTTGCTTGAACTCTTCTTCACCGGCTTCGTCGTCATCTTCTTTCTGTCGGCGTCGTCTCTACTACTACATCCCAAGTTTCAAACCAAGGTTCCGGCCACCGTCCCCTGCAGTAGGTATTACTAGATATATGGCTCTTAGAGTGACCACCGCATTATAAATACACGACGATTATGGAAGAGGAAATGAAGAGACAGGGGAAAAGGAGATGGTGGTGGGTGGGAGTTCCAAAATTCTAGTCCAGGGAGTGGAAGAGGCGCTGGTTAACTTGGTCACTGTTTCCTTTCTACGAACTACGATGCGATCCTTTAAAAAAAACATTATACGTTGATTCATGATGCAAAATTATCGTCTAAGCAAGGTTTAAAAAAGCGCTAGGCCTAAGGCGTGTCATGAACCAGTTGCTCCCAATAACTCGACGTGTTGGGAGAGGTTCAATCGTGGATCATATACCACAACACTAACACGCCCCTTCAAACGAAAGCCACTCACAAGGGTAGGGGTGGGCATCGGTTGTTCGGTCGAAACCGAAAAGATGGATACCGGGTCGGCTGCTTCCTCAAATGGCCAGACCGAACTCGAACCAGAATATAATTCGGTTCGGTTCGACCGAACCGAATTATAGACTGGTTCGGTTCGGTGGTCAAACCGAAAAGGACATGCTGTATGTTTGGGAATGACCTGCTGCCTCATTTTTTTAGAGGAACTGCTGCCTCATTTTTTTATGGCAGCTGCTGCCTCATTTTTTTAGAGGAACTTGAGACAACAAATAAGCACACAAAGTCTCAAACATCAATTGTCAACCATTCTAAAATTCAAGACAAGTACAAATACCAAAATCCACCATTCAAACATCAAAGTCTACCATATGAAAAGATAAATTACATCATACTTAAAACATAAATTGAAACTCCAAAGTCCATTTATCATCTCTTGGTTCTTCATTGCTCCTTACTTCTTGTTTCTTCAATCTTGGACAATTGACTCCTTTGCTAGCCAAGGCCTAAGAATTATACATGAAAAAAATGGTTAGTGATGAATAAATATAGAGATAAATACAAATAGAATAAAACCATTGCTCTAAAAAGTTAAGATTACCTACTTGTGAGATCAATCATGCATGAAATCGGAACTATCACAAAAACCACTACTAGATCCATCGCCATCGGTACGACCACTTGTTACATTCGAAGTGGAAGTAGATGAAACAAGGTTATCTCTAATGGATATTGCATCCATCAACTTGTTCAATTCTGCAACATCAAACCAAAAAAAATCAATATAGACTAATCATAAGCTAAAAATCAATCACAATGTAAATATGTAATGCTAGTTTTAAGATTTTACCTTCATCTATTTTGTCAACCTCTTCCGCGTCCTCCTCATCTAATGATGGTCTAGAATCACCTCGAATCCAATCTGAGCTACAAATTAAGGCCTCCACTATTCTAGGAGTCAATGAACTTCTGAAATCATCGAGAATCCTCCCACCGGCACTAAATGCAGATTCGGATGCAACGGTAGAAATTGGGACCGCTAGAACATCCTTAGCCATCATAGAAAGGGCTGGAAACCTCGAACAATTAACCTTCCACCAACCTAATACATCAAAGTTCATCTCCATCGGCTCATCAGCTTCACGAAGGTATCTTTCAAACTCAGATTTGTTCACCGCCCCATCAATTTGCTCTCTATGTCGTTTATACTCAGCAAGAACATCAATCACATCATTACCACACTCCTCCACAATAGGAGTCAAAGTAGCAGTAGAAGCACCCTTATGTTGTTTTGACTTCCACACTTGTTCATAGTGAGCAAAGAGCTCAAATGTCGCCTTGCGCACATCTTCTGCCATACGTCCTCCCTTGCCATCTTCAGGATAGACCCTCTTCAACCCGTACTCCAGAAATCCCAGCTTGTACCTCGGGTCCATTACAGTGGCAATGTAGAGTAACTTGTTCATTTTATCAACATCACCCCAATACTTCTCATACTTTAGCTTCATCTTCTTAGCCATGACACTCAAGTCATAATCTTTTTCAACTTCTTCCACCCACTTGTTAATCAAATGATATAGGGAATGCACTTCTTGTAGAAACAAGTTAGAAGTAGTATAATGGGAACCTGAGATCTTCAAGGTGAAGTCATAGAAACGACCCAGAAAACCCATCATTCTCCTTGCATTATCCCAATCAGTCTTCTCAGGAACCCCAATTATGCCATGTCTATCTTTCTTGCTTTCCAAGTCCTTTCGAAATTGCTCGTCATACATTTCGTACATCATAAAGACCTTCTCAAACCTCTCAGCAGCTTGCAACATCAGGAATGTCGAGTTCCATCTTGTGGGAACGTCAAGAGATAACCCTCGTTTGCCTTCTATCTTCTGAACTGCAGCAAACTCATGAAATCTTTTCAACCTTTCAGGTGAGTTTCTAATAAACCTCACCGCTTCCCTAATCCTCTTCACAGACAACGAGATATCTCCAAGTCCATCAGACACAACTAGATTTAAGATGTGAGCTACACATCTCATATGAAGGAATGCATTATCACAGATGCTAATACCTCTAGCATTGAACACTTCCTTCAATTTTGCAACAGCTGTATCATTGGAGGATGCATTATCCACGGTAATAGAGAATACCTTCTTAATTCCCCAACCATCAAGACAATCAACAATACCCTCAGCAATATCCACTCCCTTATGACCTTTAAGTTCACCAAAATTTATGATCTTCTTTCTTAACTTCCAATCTTGATCAATAAAGTGAGCAGTCAAGCACATAAAGCTATCTTGTTTGTTTGAAGTCCATGCATCAGTAGTCAAACACACACTTCCTTCGCAACTTTGAAAAAACTTTTTCAACTTGTCTTTCATCTCACCATAGAAACCAAAACAATCCCTAGTCATTGTTCTTCTAGAAGGAATATTAAACCTAGGGCAACATAGTGACATGAAGTACTTAAACCCCATCCCCTCCACAAATTTGAACGGAAGCTCATCAACGGTGATCATGTAAGCTAATCCCTTTCTTATAGCTTCTTGATCAAATTTCCAGTTAGTTAAAGCACCCTCATTCTCAATCCCAGTTTTCTCTAAGTTCAATAGTTGCTGAGTGGTACCTTTTATGCTCCTACAACCTCTTCGCATGTGAGCATTCATGGCATTGGTACCATTCTTTTGTGGATCAGCATCATACTCAATCCCACAAATGTCGCACCTTGACTTCTTATTGCCGTCCTTGTCATTGAACTTTGAGAACTGCTTCCAACATGGAGCACGTGGCTCCATATCTTTCCTTTTTGAGGATCGAATATGTGTTGTAGAACGAACACCAGCAGGAGGAGCTGAAGGATCACCACCCCCGGGCTCGGGAACTTCATTCTCTGATGATTCTTGGTCCTAAATCATCCAAACACAAACATAAATCAAACCATTCTTCATTTTTGACCCCTACTGTCTTTTTTCTATCTTTTTCCTCTTAATGCTATTAGCTAGCTATCTTTTTTCTATCAATTAACAAACATAAACATATATAAATCGAAGTCAATCAAACCATGCTTCAGACCTCAATAGTTCAATTAGGCCCCTGCTGTCTTTTTTCTTGGTTTTTTTTTTTATGCTAGCTAGCTTCATTTTACAGAATAGACATCAAAACTGGAAATAGATAGTTACCAAAACATGAACATCCTCGGTTGCAATATTTGGAATTGGACCGTCAGTGTGAGAAGAGCTGCCAGGATTTTTTCGTTTGCTGGATTTTCGATTGGTGGTGCTCATGGCTTTCGATGGAGAGAGATGGGCAGATGGCGACTGCCGTCGACGAGGGGCGACAATGGGGGCCCTGCGCCTGCACTGCTGGAAGCTGGATGGTGGTGGCCAAGGTTGTCAAACCGGTTTATGCCGGTGCGCCGGTTTTATGAGTGGAATGGTTCAACCGTGGTACAACCAGTTCATATGCCGGTTATGCCGGTTTTACCAAAATATCCCAAACAATAATATATATATAACAATAATATATTAATATTTATTTGTTCGTTTTCTCTCATAATCCAAAAAAGGAAACTCGCAAACAGCAACAATGATGGAAACTCCATAATCCTAAGGCCTCCATTATTCCTCTCTATCCCATCTCAACCTAGAGTAATAAATCCATTGTTGGAAACTCCATAATTACACATGTGCACTCCCTAATCCCTCTCGCAGCAAGAATGGTAATTCCATAATCCCATCTCAATTTCCGCCTGACTCACCTCCGAATCATCGACCTAAATC